TGTTCCAATTCGAACACTGCCAATTTGTCTCTCAATACTTCCAAGGCTGCTTCTTCTTTCGTCTTGTCCTTACATTCTTTATTGAAAGCCATTAATTTGACTTTGAAGGCCTGAACATCGGCTATTTGCATTTGTTGCTTACAACTCATTTAAAACTCCTTGATTACTCTTTTACCAATTACTGGCTCTTCCAAGGCCACTATATTTGGCCTCATTTGACTGAACATTTCAGTGAGTGCATCTACCAAAAACGGCTCTTCACTCTGTGCAACAATTTCTTCTCCATCTTGGACTACTCTGACAGGTCCATAATTTCCTTCGCACATGAACCTTTCCACTGAGTTTACTTCTGCGACAAAAGGCCTATGATCGGCCTGCACCACTTCTGTTTCAACTTTATCATTCCAAAAAATCAGGCATTGATGGAGCGATGAGTGTATACAGCAACTTCCGTGTATCCAATCTCTTCCTAATAACACATTGTAACTAGTAGGACCATTTATTACAAAGAAAATGGTCCTAGTAGTTGTCCCTATAATTATGTCCAATGGCATAATCCCTTTAGTTGAAGTTGCTCCTCCATTGAAACTTGTAAGGATGACTTTCATTGGAATCATATCACATTCTGTCTTTGCAAATTTCCTCATCATCCTAGATGGAATGGTGTTTATAGCTGCTCCATTATCAACAGGTACTTTTGCCATAGGTATGCCGTTAACTAAAGTTTTAACGTACAATAGCATCAAGTGTTTAGTTAACTTCATGGCTGGTCTCTTAAAAATAACCTTTTCGGCAGCATCTATTTTCACTTCTTGTTTGTCCTCTGTCGAGTTATCCTTTTGTGATAAGTCAACGTGCAGTATGTCGCACTGAGCTTCTGCTTCCTGAATTTTCTTTTTACTGTTTTCTAATGCTTTTTCTTCGGTTACCCAACCTGTGGAAGGATGCATTATTTTTGGAGGTGATCCATACTTTTCAGAGAGAAGAACTCTCTTTTTCCTTTTGGGCGTCCCGTACAGCATGTAATAATCGAAAGAACGCTCAGACGGTTCCCCCCAACAAGTCCACTTCACGAACCCCCTCTCGATGTAGTTGCTTCAACAGAATATTGTGCGATACTCCTCTTTTTCTTCTTTCTGCTTCTAGATCAATTTTCTCTTCGATGTCTGTCATACCATCATCCCCTTCATCATTGTAGGCCCCTTTAGAAGTTTGGCCTTCTTCACATTCCAGCACACATGCTTTTTCTTCGTTATCCTCCATTTCTTCTTCTTCTTTTTCTTTGTTTTTAAACTGATTAGCCAGTAAGTAATTATTAGCCATAACAGGAGGTAACGTATCGAATTGAATAGTAAGGAGCTGATCTGGATCGTCTCCATCTCTTCTGTCTCGCTCAAACTTCGATCTTCCAGAAGAAGTTTCTGGCAATTCTTCCATTGATTCACCTATATCAGTCTCTTCACTGTCTTTGAGAATATTTTGATTGGCTACCTCAAGTAGTTTAGGCACTTTAGGACTTGGCATTCCCTGTTGTTGCCTCATCATTCGTCCATAGTTCCGTTGAAAACGCCTTTGTTGGGCTCTAGTCATCTCGTTGAAGGGTATCACCCTTCCTGCGTTATACTGGAACGAATGTCATACATTTTGTTGACGAGGTTGTGGCCTGAATGTTCTCCCATTATTTACTGGCCTGAACTGCCTCTCAAAAGGCGATCCTCTAAAGAATGATGTACCTCGCCCTTTACCAGGCTGAGCGTTAGGGAAAAAACTAGGGCGATGGTGATGCTGCTATATCCCTGGTTTCTCTGTATTTGCACTCACTTCTCTTTTGCATCTTGCACATAGGACGTCTTCATCCTTTTTGGGCTCCTTCCCTTTGATACGTTCAAAGACACTGGGATGTGGCCTAGGGTCCTCTTCCCCATCAACTATAACCAACTTGAATTTTGACAACTTGTTTTTGAAACCAATTGTCACCATGTTCACTCCAAGTGGCTGTGGAAAAGAGTTTTCATCCACTGCCATTTCTTCTTGTCTTCGAAGGTAATTCGTCCTGATTCAATGGCATCCTGCAACACATGAAGAAAAATCAAACAGTTGTTAGTCAAATGTGACCATACATTATGCCACGTACAATATTTTTTACCCTTAACTTGTTCAGGGCTTGTCAATTTATGTTTATCGCTTAGCTTTATCTGTTTATCCTTATATAATTTATCAAATATAAGGTCAGCTTTGGTTACATCGAACGAGAACGTTCTAACCTTTTTGTTTTCATCTTTTATATGCTCATCCTTGCCCGACGGTCTAGGCTTAGACATTATAGGACAAGTATACGTATCTCCTTTAATTAATTCGGCCACACATATTTCGGCTTGATCGTAATATTCGTCATTAATGGTATGAACATCCAAATTTAGGTCTCTATAATAAGTCCTCTTGCTAGAATTTTTTATTTGCTCTTCTTCTCTTATTAATCGTTCATACCTAATCACATTTGCGCTCAATTGAAAAAGATCAGGAAATTTCTTGTCTTTGAATTTCTTTTTCAAATCAAAGTTTAGACAATTTTGAGCGATTTTGACAAGCTCCTTTTCTAGCAAAGGTACAAAACATTTACTTCTTGCTGTATTGAACCTTTGAAGGAAACATTTTGCCCATTCGTTTGGCATTTGACGCAGACTCGCCAAATCGGCCAAAGTAACTTCAGACTCAGTCTTATAAAATTGAGCATGAAACAATTGCTCTAATTGTTGCCGTGTTTGAACAGAGTTTGCTGACAAATTGATGAACGAGGAGAAAGCTACTCCTGTTAATGAACTAGGGATCAACCTCGTTTTATGGTAGTTTGTTACTTCACCACTTTGCAGTGTGAATCGCCCTATGTGTTCTAGAGTAGACACCTCTCCTAAACCGGTAAATAGTGAGAATTCTGGCATTTTATACCCTCTAGGCCATGGATATGCTTGGTCTACCCAATCAGGATATGACTTTGTGTAAGTCGGTCTAATGACAGGACGTACTCCAAAAACCATCAGATCCTGTACTATTTCCATAATTTGATTCCTCAACATGACGTTGGGATCATATGGAATTCCTACATGTTGGTTGATCAGTTGATTTGTTTGAGGCCTGATGTTTAGTCCTTGGTTGGCAATAAAGTTGCCTTGATTTGGGTTGTTGTTACCATTAGCCTGAATATTTATTTCATCATTAACACATGGGGCATTCTGTCAATTATTTAGGACATTGTCTCTTACATTTAGGTTACCCCCCAAGTTAGCTGTACCATTACCACTATTCTGATTTGGCATTACACCATCCCCCTGATTTGAAGTAGAGAGACGAAATAGTGGTTCTATCCCTTGATTTGGACTTAGGACTGGGGGATTATGTCCCACAATTGTACTAGCTAGAAAGTGATTTGCAAGAGGCACAACTGGCTGACAAATTTGGCCTACTAACTTATTCATTATTTCACTCAAAGTATTCAGTTGTTTGACCATGTTGTCATAATGTGCATTCCTATTCTGGGTAAATCTTTCCATATTATGAATATTTCGCAGATTTACCTATTCAACAATATCTTGTGTGAGTTCTCCAAGTAATGCACGCATGGTTCGAGGACTCAACTCTGTCATTGGTTCGTAATGACTGTGACTGCTCTGACTCTGTCCTCTGTTCGTGGAGAGCTATGCTGCTCTTTATATCGCTCGATCATAGACTAGACTCCTCCCTGACTTGCTGCTTCCTTATCAGATTTGTGAGGCATATTGTTTCACGTTTTGTATTTTCAACACCAAACGCCAAGGTCCCACCGGGCGTGCCAAATTGTTTCGCGCGGGTAGTGCTAACAATTAAAAAGGGATCAAACGATTGTGTAATGAACAAACCTCTTGAGACAAAGTCCCAAAAAGGGGTGTTTTATTGGCGATGATTTACAATTGGAACTAAACAGAATGCCTCCAAGGGGCGCAAGCACACGAGTACTGAAAGAAATGTTTAAGTTTAAACTAAGAAATTGAAATTACATATTCTCTATTTGAAAGTGTTTGATTCGGGTTCTTTTTTTTTTTTTTTTTCCTCTATGTCTTCTCTTCCTTTTATATTCCCTTGATGATTTTTTCGTGACAAATCGCTTGGAAACTGCTTGATTACTTTATAACTATCTATTTTCTTTATGGTGGCTAACTTGTCGTGGAACTGCCGTCTTTAACTGCTGCCACTACTTTTTGTCGTTCAACCGCTTTCAACTGGGTTCCTTGAATCGTGGAATGTAATAAGGTTACTCAATAACTACTTCAATAACTGCATTTCTGGATAACCATAACATTTTATGTTTGCTAAGATCCTGGGCGATTCGAAGGTATGGATAAGAATAGGGTCATCGCTCAGGGCGACTATAATTCGCTCAGATCTTGGGTGTCTTGCAAGCTTGGGCGATGATGTTACTGTGTTCGTGGGCTTCCACTGCATTCATTAATAACCCTGTCTGGATCTTTATCCTGAATTGCCCAATTGGACTTTATTTTTTGGGCTATTTGATTTGGGAATTCCTCAATTGGACTTCATTCCTTGGGCTATTCGATTTGAGCTGCACTTTTAGTGTGTCAACAAATATATTTACCATTTTATGCATTGTAGATTTATATTGAGATTGTACATATCATTCAAAAATTGTAAAGCAATGTTAGTACGTTTGTAGCTTAATTATGAAGATAATTGGCGTGTTATCTCGTGAAAAGTTCAATCTTACAGAAAGTATTTTTTATTCAAGAAAGATTTCAAATTACATTTACAACATGAAAAAACGAAAATGCCAAAATTCATTAGAAAAAATTTTAATACAAAATTTCTATGGCTAAAAGAATCAGAGGAACGATTTATGAAATTTATGGGGGCGAAAGTAAAATTAAAATTTCAAACCCACAAGGACATTTATGTAATTCGACTGCCGATTCAAACAATAGAAAAAGGGCGGACTGAGAACTCGATCCAACGGTAATCCCTCTCTTACGAATTCTACTTTTTCCCCCTTTCTTTACTCTAAAAATTTCATCTGGAAAACGCTACTCTCTCAAGAAAATGGTAAAAAATTGAAGGCACATTCCCTCAGAAGAACCCTAATAATTTTCATCCGAAAGAAAGAAAAAGAACGAACAGGAATCTGCTCGAAGAAAGAGATGGTGGCCGTCAAGGTGCCAACACGGGGAACCCTAATTTAGTTGTGTTTGTATTTGTCGGTCTATTGTATTTTCGTTAAATTTTGGTGAAATTTTAATTTTCTTGATGATGAAGGGAAGGCTGAATTCCCTAACAAGTCGAGTTAAACAAGACCACAAAATGAGCAACAATGGTAACTGATATATCTACTATTCAGTCTCCTCTCGTTCCTTCCAATATTAGTATATCTGTTTACCTATTTATATTGTATATATGAACACAGGAGGAGGCAGAAATTTCAAGATTTATGCGGAAGTTGATAATGTTAAAATTGGCGAATGCGATCCTCTCGCTAATGAATTCAAGTATCGTTCCATTGTTTTTTTTTACCTTTTTTTTTTTTTTTTTTTTTTTTTTTTTTTTTTGGGGTCTTTGAGGTTGAATCATGGTAATTTATTTGCTGAAACATTTTTGAAGGAAAATAGAGTTTGGAAATTGAAAGTAGTACTTCTTACTTTTTCTCTGTTTTAACTACTATGAGGAATTATTGGATCTTCTGCATTTTTAAATTTCATTATTAATTTTTATTCATATACTGCCTCCAATTTTTATGTTTAGGAGAAAATCCGTTCAGCATAATCGAGGAAGTTATCAGCTCAATGTTAAAGATTCCAAGGTTACATATTTCTATTTGTTACATTAAGGTCTAATTTGATTTCTGAAGATGGGGCATAATTTTTCTCTTATCACCGTGTAAACTATTTACTTTATTTTATCCTCTTTCTGCGCAAAGAGTGGTGTCAAGAATTTAGAGAAGAGTAAAAGCAAGATAGATACATCTGGTAAGCATTAGTTGACTGAAATCTTGAGAAATAGCATGAGTTTGATGCTTTGAGAAGCTTTATCTAACATCTTTGTACTCTTTCCAGTGAAGATAAATGTCAGAAGAAAAGTTTTGGCAGACATCAGCAATGCTAAGGGAAGCTTTTCGAAAACTGCACTGGTACCAGAGTAAGTGATGTCCAATTCAATCACTTCGGAATAAAAAATTGTAATTCAGTTCATATTGTCCCTCTCAATATGAGGAGACTTAGTGACAGTGGTTATGTTGATCATTTCAAAACTTTCACTATCACTCACTGTTTATCGATTTTAGTGGAGCTGAGGATATGATTAGATGTAGTTGGCATGGTTGGTAATTCACTATGTGCTCTCACAAAATGAGAAATGAGCACATCCCAGAAGGTGTTATAGGTTTTGTGATCTAGTTTCTTTTTTCTTATTGAATTTACAAGCATTAAAATACTGCAGGTAAAGATGAAGTGAAAGAAATACATTTTAGGAGAATATCTTTTGTTAAATTTGAAATGTTCTTAGTGTCCTTTGAGGCTTATAATACCATATTTGTCATAAATATGCAATTTTTTACTACGATTTTCCATTTCAAATTTTTTACTTGGAGTTCTTATTGGTCTCTGCTGTTTTAGTTTTTCTAGCTGTTTTTAGTTGTTGATAGATTTATTATTTTCTTGTTACTTGTGACGGTGTTTCTTACTTATCCATGTATCTACCATTCTTATTTTTAGGGATACAGTCTCTGCAGGCATTAGGAAAGCAAGTTGTTCGTCAGAAAAATTCTCAAGGGTATGCAAATGAGCTCAGTTCCACTCACTCATACTCTTTCAGCTTCTTACACTGAAAATTTTACTAAATTTTTGGACCACTAGAAATGTATCCAACTTTATAGCTGATCATTTAGCCCCAGAATTTCAGACATACGGAATGCAGAGAAATTGTTATTTCAAATTGCATATGCAATAAGTTCATACTCTATGGTTCAATGTCATTGTTATTGTGGTCTATATCATGTCATTTATAAGACAATAGTAGTGCAATAAAAATTTCACCTGTGTGGTAGACGGAATATTGTGAGTTTGAACGATAGAAATTTATCTAAGAGCTGATATCATGATTGCTCCATATTTGTAAGAATTGCTAACAAAATTGTATTTACCTTTCAAATATTTGTTCTAGAGTTTATGCATCTGAAACTTTTTAGAATTTAGGATGATGTGAAAACTTAAAACTGATAGGAAAAAGATCAAAGTTACCCACTTGCTGGTTCACCTTTAAGATGTCATTTGTTGCATTAAATTAGAGAAGAGAAATGAACCTTTACCTTTACAGAAACTAATGTTTTTTTTTCTGGAAAGTAAAGCAGCTCTTTTGAAATGGTAAAGTCGAGACCTTGAACTATAGTTTACTTCCATTTCCTCCATTTCTATATATTATAAATTTGTTTAAACTTGGAGCATTCAGTATCAATGTTTTAGTTGATCAGTTTTTAGCAATTTGATAATACAAGCACAAGTTCTGATATTGTCTCTTAAACAGGGGAAAGTGACACAAGCTTCTGGCGAAAATCATATTTTAAAAAGGCGTAAGAATTTGTTATCTTTCACCAGAAGAAAAAATAAATATTGAGTGGAAGTTTGCTGCCTCTTATGTATACCCTCTTTGCTGGATACCAGAAGTCAACAAAAATATGAAGGCCACCTCTGACGAGCAAGTGACCAAGGTTCAAGGCCGAAGCTCTATGATTACAACTGGCAGGTACATGCAAGTAATGATTGAAAAGTAATACTGCACCTCTAATTGTGCAAAAGTCTTATTTTGATGTTATCTCATTTTCTCTATTGTGTCAATTCTACGGAAACTTGAATCAAATTTTCCTTTTTCCCTACCAGGACATTTGTGAGAGTTCCTCTCCCTCCAACAAGGTCTCTGATTATTTTATTTTATTTTTATTTTTATATTCTGTTAATTTGCTAAATATAAAATGTTTTGTCTTGCCATTAATGGGTCTATTTTGTTGTTCTGGTGGTTCAAGGAAATCTTTACCAGTACTAAAGCAAGTCAACAAGATGGAAACAAGTGATTTGAAGAAGGTTCTGATAATAATACCTATTTTTTTGTATCTTGGACTTATATGCATTGGATTGTAAGATCGATGTGCAGTTTACAGAATAAAGATTTTTATGATTCCATTATGCTTTAGTCTTAAAAATATTATCAGCTTTTCAGACTTTCTTAAAGTTGTAATGGTACAAGAGTTTTCAGAAAGCTTGCATCATTTTATTTTAAATTTTAGTTCTCTTGACACCTGATGTTGTGGGAAAATTTAGTTGAAACCTTCTTGCCAGTCCATGTTAATGTTTTAATTGCTCAGCTTTTACAATCTTTTTCATGCAAGCATTAGTGTTGATATTGTCTCTAAAACAGGGGAAAATGAGGTTAAACCAGATTCAAGCTTCTGGCGAAAATCATATTTTGAAGAGGCGTAAGATTTTTTTATTTTCTCGTCAGTAGAAAAGTTAAGTATTAAGTGAGTTTTCTCCCAAATTTGTCCTCTTTTCTGGATAGCAGAAGTCCACAAAAATATGAAAGCCACCTCTGATGAGCGAGGGACCAGGGTTCAAGGCCGAGTTTCTATGACTACAACTGGCAGGTGCATGCAAATTTGCAACTCTCTAATTGTGAAAATTTTTAATTTAATGTTCTATTATTTCTAATAGTTAATTTGAGGAAAATTTGAATCTTAATTCCTTTTCCTCCAGCAGGAAATCTGTTAGAAATCCTCTCCCTCCAACAAGGTTTCCGAATGTTAAATATATTTATTCTGTTACTTTTAAAAAGATATGTCTTGCCATTAACGTGTCTATTTTGTTATACGTTTGTTCAAGGCAATCATTACCAGTATTAAAGAAGATCAACATGGAAAAAAGTGATACAAAGAAGGTTGAGATAATAATTGCTATTTTTCTGTCATGGGCTTTTTATGTTATAAATTGCGAGATTGGTGTAGTACTCTTGACATCTGATTGTGCTGTAGGAAAATTCTGAAAAGTCAGAGAAGTTTAGCGTAAAACATGGATTTCCTGGTGAGATTCCATAATAAGGCATAGTTATTTATAGTGACTGCATGGAACAATATTGACCACTACGACGATATTGATTATTTGTCGCTCTCAGTGAAGCCCAGAGTTAGCAGAACTGCTGTAACCCTCCCGAGCAATTCGAGCAGCCGTCCAAGGAGAAACAGAGTTAGCTATGATTTTGTGGTCATGTGAGTTTTACAGTCTCTTAAATTACTTTAGACATTTTGAGCTGCTGCATCAAAGTGGTTTAGCTGGCAAATCTTCCCGTACTAGCTGGGCATGTCATTATTTACGTAGACTAAAGAGACCCCATTGTGATTTCACATATAATTACTGTGATAACGTGAGATGCTGCCTAATGCTTTTCAATGTAACAAAATAGAATATATTGCCTTTGCACGTAATGTTTACTTCTTGATGCTTAATGGTATGTAAGATAGAAGAAAGAGATGTAGTTATAAAATGGGAATTTTAGTAGTACTAAACAGAAGGTAAGTATTGGAGTTTCGCTTGTGAAATGGGTTCTTGTAAATATAGGAGATGTTTTGCTTAATATATTTTGTTAGTTCAGCAGTTGAATGATTAGTGACACTTACAACTTTTAAAGCGAATATTCGTTCTTGTTTAATTGAAAAAGCTCAATATATTTAACTCAATGCATCCAGGCATTATGTGGCTTTTCTACATAAATCCTCTTTTTGCGAGTTCCTTTTTCATCTCTAATATTCTTATCTTTATCATACAAACCATTTTTTTGGGCGTTATTTATAAATAACACAAAAGCCATATGGAGTATTTCAGGTCCTGTAGCAATCACGTTGAGTTTTCTTATGACTTTATAAGAATAGGTTGACATACAAAACTTCAGAGGCTTCCTTTACTTTTAGTAATCTCATCTCTCGTATCTCCCTCCCTATGAATATACGAGCCAGAGTGTTGAAAACACTTGCATTTAGGTTTTCCATGACCTCCGATCTTCTTATTTCCATGCGAATGTGAGCACTTCTATATTTCTAAAACTACCAACCATGAACTTGATCTTACTCCTAATTTTAAATCATTTTTTTCTCAGGATGCTCTGACCACTTTAGTTTAGATAATGATGGAACTTCAATTTTACACTGGCTGTAAGACAATCTGATGCAACATTCCTTTATCTTAGTTGAGGTTAAGCCATGTTGAAAAAGCTGCACAAGCAAAGTTAATTGAAATAACTCAACACGCTACTTAAAAATATAGCTTGGATCAGTTTGACTATTTTGATTGGATAAAGCTATCTACATGTTTGTAAGTTCCCAACATGTCCGTTTGAAGACATCTATTTTCTTCCAGAAACGCTGTCATTCTTCTCTCAATTTTCCTTGCTTAATAGAACCTAGAAACTGCCCTTTCGAACAATCCTGAGAAAGTAGATTGCATGCTTGGTAAACCTCTCGTGAAGACAAATCTGTGATCCTCAAATGCCATCATACTCGTGAACAATCAAATGGGACCTAAATATATAGTTAGTTGTATATCTAATCTACTAATATGTAAGGACTCTTTTGTTTTGCTATTGTTGATCCCTCCTGGATGTTTGTGATCAGGACATCTAGAGCTCAGTCGAAGGTTGGTACCGGAGTATTGTCCAGAAAATCTGCCAAAGTGAGTGAAACATTTAAACAATAATTGTTTTCTTCCTGCCCCATCTCCATCACTATGGTATATATTTAATATTGAGAGTAGAGTTGATTCAGTTGATGCGTTTTAATCATTTTGATGTCCAGAGTACTGTGAAAATTGCAAGTGCAATTTCCACTACGCAGAGAAACTCAAAATCAAAGTGCACACTGGGTACGAACAAACTAATGTCTGATGCTGCTATTTCGTCCAAGAGAAAGCAGGACATGGCCAAACCTTCTCTGTCTGCAGAAACTTCCTCAGTTGTTTCCAGTGAAAAACCCTCTCAAAAGGAGGTTCTTTCTGGTAGTAACAATAATGTTGATAGCACTAGGTTAGACGTTATTGCTAGAAGAAAATCTGACCGCAGGAATTCGTTTACATTCTCACTGATGTCCGGATCAAAGGTTAATGCTTCCTACTTTCCCCTCAGAAACTTTCTTTTCTTTTTCTTGCTAATCATTGGCATTATTTTGCAGTTTCCAAAGCAACATGGTAAAACACTGGAAAATTTACCCAATATATACGATGTTCGCAATCATCTTGAAGTTAGTGATTATGTGGACGACATATATCAGTATTATTGGGTTATGGAGGTAATATATATTCTACATTTCCATCATTCTGATTTGGAAGGGTGTTGGTCTATTTGCTTGATTTTTCCTATTGTAGGGTCAGAATCCATTGTTGAAGGATTACATGGAAATTCAGACAGATATTAACCCACAGATGCGGGGAATATTGGTCAACTGGCTTATTGAGGTACTTATTTTCACTCCAGCATTTAAATTTCTTTAGTTCTTTCGATTGCTTTATGAGACTCCATTTTCACCTCTTACCACCATTCTTTGTTACAGGTTCATCACAAATTTGATTTAATGCAAGAAACACTTTTCCTCATGGTTACACTTCTAGATCGGTATCTCTCCCTTGAGATCATCAAGAAGAATGAAATGCAATTAGTTGGCCTTACTGCACTTCTATTAGCATCAAAATATGAAGACTTTTGGCACCCCAGGGTAAATATTTCTCATTGATCGAACTAGTTTTAATTTTATTAAATTAAAGCATAGTAGGTCTAACTGCATGTCTCAAATAGATTTTGTTGTTCTTGATGAATAGCTACTAATGTCAATTAATTTATTACACTTGGGCCCAGGTCACTGACTTAATTAGCATCACAGCAGAATCATATACCAGAGATCTAATGCTTGGCATGGTATGTACGCTTTTCTCGTTGATCATTTCAATTTGTATTCATTACCTAACTTATCACATATAATTTGGAACGTTTGGAGTATTGTGGCATTGTCTTGAGAGGTAGCGCTTGACTGAGAAAATGCATGCATCTTTAATTTCAGGAGAAGGCAATCCTAAAGAAATTGAAATTTCGTCTTAATGAGCCTACTCTTTATGTCTTCATGCTAAGGTTTCTCAAGGCTGCTCAATCAGAAGTAAAGGTATTTAATAATGTTTTTCAAATGTGTATTGAAGTCCATAAAAACCAATTTCACTTTAATTAGATGCTTATTTCATTATATAACTAATCTTTATGTAGTGTCATCTACTCTTTTGTCTTCTGAAAGTTTTTGATTAACCTTCATATCAGTAACATCTTTCTTCTTGTGCATTCTTTTCCAGTTTGAACATCTTGCATTTTACCTCATTGAGCTTTGCTTAGTTGAATACGAGGCTTTAAACTACAAGCCCTCAATGCTCTGTGCATCAGCTATCTATCTTGCCCGATGTACAATGAAAATGACTCCAACATGGACTCCTCTTCTAGAAAAACACACTCGATATGAAGAACCCCAATTAAGGTTTACATTTTTTGGACAAAATCTTCTTCAGAAACATCTATATTTTATGATTTTAATTACTATTAATCAAAATTTACAGGAATTGCACGGAGATGATAATGAAGTTCCACAAAGCTGCTAGAACTTCTATGTTGAAAGTCAGTTACGAGAAGTACATGAAACACGATCACTACAAAGTTGCAGCTATAAAGCCTTTGGACATTCTTCCTCTCTGATTCCACATTGATGTATCGATTTCAAGTTTTTGTCCCTTAACACCATCTCTCTGCTAGTGGACTGGACTGCACGTTGATATATAATATGGTTGATGAAGTCTAGGTTAGACGTCAAAAGTGTGCGATGTGTATTGAGATTTAAAGATATAAGAGTATCTTAACTGTTATGTTAATAGAAAAAGTCTTGGATCTATCCATTGTAAAATCAAATATAACAATTTCTAAAAGCTTAGGTCCAGTGTGCATTTTGTGTCACTAGTTTACAATCATTTGACTGTGAAACAATCTATGTTGTGCAAAGTATATACATGTCCCAGAGCGAGCACTGGTTAGGTAAAATGGACTTAAAATAGTGCCTCACTGAAAATTGACCCGCCTATTTGTCACGCTGATTTACCAACTAGTAACAAAGGCATGCTCTTCTGATTCACTGATTGAAGTAGAAGTCCTTATATCAGGATTGATACAAATGTCTTATTCTACCCATGGAGTTGGGAGTGAAGGATGAGTCCCATTCGTTGCTTCTCTTTCCATACGGAATCTTGTTTAGGTGGTGGGTAGTTTCAACATACACAAGCTCGTGTTATGCAGTGCAACTTAACACGCTGCTAATGTCTGTGATGTCTGTTGGGGATAAGGGGAGAGCTTGACTTGACATGAGTTATAACGATAGTAATAGCAACACTTTTGTGTACTGAGCAGAGGACTTTAGCAAATGAATTTTAGGAAGCTGCTTTATGGAGAGCTTGACTGAGGAGTTTGGAAGCTTCTCATCAAGGCAGATGATATTAAAGGCCAAGTGGCTATTCCCTTGAACTGTACAGACGAGAATTTGACTTCATAAGAAATTGAACAACGACAATTGGAGTCTTGTTTGGTTAGGAAACCCAAGTGTTGAAGGCAACAGCATCATGCAATGGCCTTAGTGGTCAGATCTTGAGGTTTGCTCCTCAATGGTCACCAGTTTGAATTCCTCTAGTACCACTGAGGTGAGTACCCGATTGTAAACTTTAGGGTCCGGTGGAATTAGTCAAGGTGCAGATAAGTTAGCTTGGACATCTATGATCATTAAATAAAAAATCAAAAAATTGTGCAGTGGCATTATCATTATTTTAGAATATTGTTAGGACAATATCTCAAGGATTGGATACCCTTTGGGGTTGAAATTTTGTTGACTCAGTTATTGAAGATTTTAGTTTCACTAAGGATCAAAGAAAGCATCATTTGGAGGTCGAGAACATTAGTTATGAAAATTATGATTCATCAATTAAAAGATGTCTATTGCAATCACTTGAATTTCATGCTTGGTGAGTAGTCAGTTTGCCAACCTCCATCGTGCTTCATTCTATATGATGAGGTAGCCTGCAGGCTATCCTCCAATGCACAAAATGCGCAATCCTTGAGGATTGTAGGGACAACTAAGAGCCTAGTTTATGCACATCTAGAAAGTGCTAAAGTATTCATATGGGTTCTGGAACCCATTGAGCAGTGTTAAGATTTCGAAGCCTTCGATGGGCACCCGCAAGGGATTGAGGTTGGTGATAGAGCATTGGTATTTTGTACAGGTTACATTAAGGATATGATGAGATCTTTAGGCCGAATGAGCTATTGAGCACTCTAAAGGCCTCGTCTGCTAATTCATGTGATTTGGTTATGGGTTTTAACCTTGCTGTAGGATTCATTGGCTAGAAATGCAGTCATGAGGCAACATCGCATAGTTGGACAAATATGACAAGATATTGATATTGTTAGAACGAGTATTCTACGAAGGCATTTCTAATTAGCTATGGATTAAAGGATGGCCCAACTTGGACTAGGCATCAAGAAGGGCATGGCGACAAGTATTAAGCTATGATGCCCATAGAAAACGACGAGCATAAGAATCGCATTGTGGGAAACGCAAATGACCCTCAATGTTTCAAATTTAGCTAAGAGAGCTCCTTTCTTACGAGTATGTTTCAAAAGGACCAAATATTGTGCATAAGCACACAAACAATTTAGAAGATGTGAATTGCAAATAAGCGAGCATCTGCACATAGCAGGGATGCATTTGGGCGATTACACTCTAGCAAGCCTTGTGGGCGTAATATGCAACGGGTCATGTCCAAACTTGCGATGAAATTCTGTGGAAGGTAGTCGAAAGAAGACTACTACCACACCAGTGCGAAAAATAGTCCTCTTGTGGGACTTAAAGATTCAACCCGTGTCAGGGGTGGACCCACATGGGGTCATGTGGGGTCAAATGACCCCACAAAATTTTGTCCCTTTTTTTTTCCTTTTTTTTTACAATTTATTTTGATTCGCTCGTCGGAATGTCAAATGAAGTTAAAATATTGTATTCTTAATACCACTCATGACCTAGTTTTTCACTCATTAATGACATGCGAAGTGATGAACTACAGCAAAAGTTATGACATGTTAAAGTAGGCTGTTTGAAACTAATATTTTTAGAATTTCGATAATATCCTAATTTTAAAGATTCGTTTGTTATCATGTGCTATCTGAATCCACAAACCGTCTATGCCATGTAAAAGCTTGTTTCGAAAACTACATCGTTTTCGTATCGAATGGTCTAAACGGATATCGAAAATAGTTAAATATGTATCAAACGTACGCTTCAAAAAAAAGTCTAACTCATTTTTTCTTTTAAAAAATTCAATTAATTATTATTTTTGCACAATAAATTTTTCAATATAATTTATATCGTTTCATTCGAAAATCTTATATGAAATATGACGTAAATTTTTTAGGGTCGTTACAAATTAAATGCAATTTGAATTACTTTCGAATTATATTTACTTTAAATTTGAATTTCATTTACTTCATGAACTAAACTTGAATTTTATTTTAATTTATTTAATTTCTATATTCAATTTAATTTACTCAATGTCAGCTCAGCATTTGCCAACGAAATGATAAACAAAATTATACAAATAGCAAAATTTATTTAATAATATTAATAATGATGTAATTATATGACGTTTTCAAAGTGTCAAAACACATTAATTTATTTTCATTGATATTATGTTGTTTATTAAAAAAATTATTTTTAAAATTTTGATCCCACAATACTAAAGGTCTGAGTCCGCCCTTGACCCGTGTCACCATTTGTGGGATTGGATAGGTAGCTGGCCAAAGTAACATAGTAGTGTATAATCGATGAGTCCAGGTCCATGTAATGATGTATCAACCAGACGTTTGAATTAACCTACGGCTTTGGAGTTTTGATGTTATGCTTTAGCATGAATGTTAGGGCATACGGTTATAAGGATGAATAATCACAAATAAACTATTCATAAGGATTAATGTGCTACTCCAGTATTCTCTGATACCAACCCAGCACAATTCAAGTAAATGGACTCTTAAGGGTCTCTTCCCCATCCTTGAATTCCATCCAAAATAGACTCATAAAACCTTGATTAACACAAGACTTTGTATACAGTAAAATAAATTTTCTGTAGTATACAAAGAAACACCAATGTGGTTAACCCTCTTAAGAGATGAATTTAAAGAACGTGATTAGTTGAAGTAATGAGCCTCCATTGGAGAACCGGTAAATACTTTCACTATTAAAAAGGTTGTCATACAAAATGCTCAAATGAACAAGGTGTGAAAAGGTTTTCTTGGGCCAGACGGAGATTGACCTTTGAGTGCAAAGGCAAAAACGAGCTTGACTGCAAGACCCATCAGTCTTCTGACGTGTTCTTGTCGAGCTGAAAGAGAGGCTGCCTTCCTTTCTTTGCTGATCGGCAGCCGTGTAAAATCAGCAAACTTTCGAATCAGGACAATGAATTCGCATTCAAATAACCAGTAAAATTTTGGAATTTGGACTGCAGGTTTCAATGGCATTATCAATCACCAGTTCGTCAATTTTTCCCATTTCTGTCCAATTTACCGAGATGTGCCTGAAAACTGCCTTCGGCCTTCCAAGAAAACTCCAGCTATACTCCCTCATCAAGTTCCATCACATTCTCAGAGGGCTGCCAAATTCATAGCTTATGTATAATCAATATTCACCAGTATATGATGCCTAATATCTTGTTTTTCTTATCCCAGTTCAGATGGTCATTTCGAGGATTATTTCCCTTTAATTACTGAATAAATTATCAGTAATTCATGTCTAATTGAGTCACAACTATTGTTTTCTGGTCTATTGTAATTTCCTTTTTCACAATATAAAGGATTGGTGTGGATGTGAGACAGGCCCATATTTCCTAATTACCCTTCGTCTTACTTTCTAAGAATCAACTTTCTTGGCCATCCAGCGGCCACAGAATCCACCTCCACGGCCACTCATTTGTCTCTCCCTATCTGGTTTGTAACAACTAACAACTACTGTTTTCTGGTGAATTGTAATTTCCATTTTCAATGTAAAAAGGAATATTATACATTACCGTTTTATATAGATGATCTTAAGACATATCAAAACAATGAAAAATAACAGTAATTACATTTTTGCTGCAGACATTCTATATATTACTTGAAAAAGGAAAAAGCTGGTTTTAAGAGAATTTGTTGTAAAATGTAGGCGCATCTGAATGCACAATCCCCAGATGAAAGAAGGCAGTGCCAGAATCTCAACGCCTATGTAATTCTTATTGGCAACGTACAGCGCTGTATGCACCATCGATAATTAAGTGCATCAGTGACTCTAATTTGTCGCCGTCGAATTTCCCGAATAATTTATGAAATAAAAACCAGTAAAATTGATGCTTTTGAGAGGAAAAAAAAAAGAATTAAAGGCTCATAGATGATTTAGATTGACATCAACAAGCTCTCAGAAGCTAGTTTGATGGTATAATTTTCATAAATCATCGCCCTTTTCTGTTTATTAAAACAAATTTAAGAATCTAATGTAATCGAATCGAAAAAGAAAAATATCAGTAATTCGAAGCAAATTACAACGAGATCTCAGAAATCAGAAGGTTAAAGACACATCAGAAAAATCTCCAGAAAGATCCTTATATAATTCCGACGATTCTCTGTTCATCGCCCGAGAAAAAGAGAGGAAGGTGGCTGGGCATTCGAAAGCATACAGCCTCGAATATATAGAGTCAGAGGAGGGATCAATGTTGACAATAAAACCCTAATTTAGCTACAATTACTTTGAAAGTTGACATTGTTTTTCAATTTGAGCAGTATTATTTGCAGTTGATTACTGTCGTAGTCGTCTCATGTGATTTACATATGAAAGTTTAGTAATTTGGTTCATTAATATAATAATTTTTTATTACATTTTACAACAAACAATTAATCGTCACATGTATGTTACTTAGAGCGACTGCAATATTGAGCAATTGTAAAAAGTATTTTTCCTTCTATTTTGCCGTCCAATTGATTATCCATTCAATTCGTTATTAAATGTCATCAATAATTAACAAGTGATGGGATTTATTGATCAATTTTGCTGTCCAATTGACTGTCCAACCAATTCATTATTAAAATGTCACCAATAATTAACATAACATCTCAAATTTATTCTAATTAACTTCACTATTAACTAAAAGTTGATGAGATGTTAATAATGAATTGGTTGGACTACTAATTGGACAACAATATTGAGCAAAATAAGTGAGGCTTTGAATATCAAACTTATGTAAATATATACTAGTCAACGTTAAATGTGTATTGAACGTTATTATAAGATGTTTTATAAGTACTGTAAAAATAATATTTGAATATGCACAAACATTCATTGATAAAGATGAATCTTAATTAAACGAATATGAATGTTAATTAATTGAGAATTAATAATAGGAAATTCATACATTAATGAATGCACACAGGTGAAATGAATATGTCAAATGTACATATATATTAATTGTAGGTATATGGTTAAATAAATTAAAATACATATTTAAAAATGAAAAATAAAGTATTATTAAAATAATTGAATCATAATAAGGCTAAAATCCTCCAAAAAATTATTATCACTTGATGTGATATTTAATATATTATAGATGTAATTTTCTTTAAAAAAAAAATTATGTGGATGAAAATATCCTCAAGAATTTCTAAATTCCCAAAACCCTTTCTTCTTTCCATCAATTTTAAAATTCATTTGTTTCACAAACTCAATTCGCCCCAAGCTAATTACCCATTCACTGACATCTCACCCTTGAAGATTGTCATCATGCCTTCCCTGACGCCTCATTGATAAGACGTAATCGAACCCAAATCAATCCATCATTTTCCTTTTCCTTTTCTTCTTCCACTTCTTCTTAATTTTCAATTCAACCATCACAACGGATCTCTCGTTTTAGGGGTAACAAAGGGTTGTCTTCTCGGAAGTGGAGAACTTATCGAGAGAGTAGAAAATTTGGAGATCTTCTCAAAATTATATTAGAATCAGAAATTAATGAAAACGAAGAAGAAGATAAGGAAGAACATAACATGGAAAAATAAAGAAAGAACCTTGCTATATGTACATTATGGTATATACTTTAGTTTACAATTTGTCACTTGACATTACCCCATTGAACAGTTTAAATTTCAAACAATTTCTCCATCCAATCGACATTTAACAACAATGCAAGTGTCAACCAACATGTCAAAAATCATTGTACAAATAGTAGCAGCAGAAATTTCTTATTCAAAGAACTTATTTATTATCTTCAAGAACATTACATCATTTGCCCGGGCAATTGCAGTTGCACACAGTGTTTATACATTTACTGCTTCCATTATATAACTGTTTACACAAAAGCGCACATGTGCCACCTATCTTAATATTATCATCTATGCCTTTTCTCCAGAAACCAAGTTCAGGAAAATTTCGACATCCACCTTCTTGATCTTGACCAATCACATCCTTCCGACCTAAAACCACAAAAGAAATAGTCGAATTTTAATTCTTTTTATTTTAAACTGAAGGTAATAGAAATTAAATTTGTCAATAAAGAAATATAGAGACAAAATTACAAACCTAAAGAAAGGATTAGGAATATGACGAGGATAGAAGCAGTAATCTTCATCATCTTAAGCAAGCAAAAGCAACTATCTGTCTGTTCGTGGTATAAAAAGACAGTATTGGGTACCATTTATATATGTGTATAAGCATAGAATTCAGAATCAAATTTTTGTAATCCACGTTGATTATGCATGGATTTCATTTAATTCTGGTTCACATGTGTACAATGCTTTTGTATATTGAAGTCCTCAAGTATATTTCTAGAATTAGTGCGTGATCCGAATTCAATTTTGAAGATGATTGGAAATTTAATTAGCATTAACATTAAGAGGAATTCTATTTGTTGAAATGCTTTTGGAATTCTATTCGAAGTCTATTTGGCAAAGTGTAGTCGAAGTTTTATTTGAAAGTCCAATTGAAAGTTAGAATTTGTGTTCAACTTGAAAAGGAAAAAGATATGGGCATTTCATTCCATCTACAATTCTACTTCTGGAGCTTGGATTGTTCCCTATAAATATTTGGCTCTTCTCTACAATTTAGATATGTTGTTTAACTTCATTTGAAGTTAGACAAATCAAAACACGAAATTATTGTAATTCTCTCTCTATATTATAGTGAAATATTCATTCTTCTGCCAATTATTTTATTCCCGAGTTTGTGATCAATTACTTCATATTGTGTCATATTATTTTCTTGCATATCTTCACAACAAATTAGTATTGTTATTATCCGGTATTTTCATTGTTGTTTATAAAAAACTGATATCAAAGTTAAGGTTTTATTCATAGGGAGATTTTGATTTTGGGATGGCAATCATAAAGTTTGATATTTCGCTATTGGATCATGGTACAAGACTTTCATTGTGGCATATTAGGATGCGAGCAGTGTTCACTCATCTGAGATTGATTTTTTTGTGTTTTTTGCCCGTTTCATATTTGTTGTTTAGAGACATGATTTTATATAATCGTGATACTCTCACCATTGAAGAAGCATATAATGATCTATTTTCAAACAAGATAATAGAGCACATTGTTGAGGTTCATGGAGAGGGCTTTATTCTTGATGGTGGTTGTGAAAGAGAAACTAAAGTCTAATTTCAAAATTTATTGCAAAAACTCGAGGCACTTAATTAAGAATTGCTATAAGTTGCAGAATAGAGAATATTTGGCTATAACTTTTCAGAAGAAAAGCAATTAGTTATTTCGGGTGAAACTATTATTGTAGAAATTTTTTTTACAGCAATTAGATACTTCAGATGGTGCCATTATTGCAGAAACTTCTTACAGTGATGGAGGGCTTTTACTTATTTCTGACTACGATTCCCAACTTAATGAGAATTAGATTCTTGATATAGCTTGTAATTTTTCAAGTGTTCCAATTGGGATTCGTTTACAACATATGAAGAAGCTTTCGAAGGTGGCGTTTTGATCGGTAATAATACACCTTGTCGAATAGCTAGTATAGGAAGGGTCATTATTAAGTTGTTTGATGAAAGTGTAGGAACACTTGATGTAGTACGGCATGTTCCTGATTTGAAGAAAAATATTATATCCTTAAGTACTCTTGACTTGAAAGGGTATAAATTCATTAGTGAACGTGGAGTCCTAAAAGTTTGTAGAGGCGCTCTTATAGTGCTACAGAGACCAAAAAGTCATAATCGTATGTCTTGCAAGGTTCGACAAAATCTTTGATGGAACAGCATAGTTTAAGGACTCAGGTGAATTATGAGTTTGGTTTAGTACCGTCGAAGATTTATTTGCAGTGTACATTGATGAATACATTTAAGTTATTCTTAAAAGTTATTGATAATTCCACTTTATCACCATCATTAGTGGTGCCATTGTATTCAAGTGCTAGAAATAGACCTTTTTAAAGAATATACCTCCACATAGGTTCAAAGATGATGATTTAGTTAATTCTGCTTCGGTTGTGATTGAAGGTGGTGATTCTAGCAAAAAACATTCAGTTGAAGCATTTAGTGGTGATTCCATTATCAGACTTGTTTCAGTGTTGTTTGGTGATTATTAATCACGTTTGATTTTGTTGCTCGTGATTCAAGCAACTTTGGTATCCAAGGTATTTTTTGAAATTTTGTTAATACTCAGTTATTGAGTTTTGCCCCTAATTAGATGGCAGAGTTTTGGAAAGTATTTTCAATTGAAAATTTTGATGGAGAAGTTCATTTGAATTTTTTTGTTGAAAAGTTGAAGTTCATTCCTTGCAGTAAAATTTTTCTCCAAGTGGACAGAATCTTTGAAATTTTGTTTATTGCAATGGAATTTGTGTCAAGTTGGATTTCGTTAGAATTAGGGAGTGATTCGAATTCTAATTTGAAGATGAGTGAAAAATCTAGCCCTCATTTCATAGGACTTTCAACTTTTTAACCACACATTTTACCTAATTTTATCAAAATCTATTAAAAATCTAATTTTAATCCCTATCAACTAGGGACTATATGAGTACTGAAGTTTGTCTGCATTTATGATAATTGGCAGAATCTAAAAGAGTGCAAATGAAAGTGTTAATTTACGTAAAAGATAAGGAAAAAATCTTAAATAATCTGTTGAGAGAAATCATAATGAAGCCTTATTGAATTACACGTGTTTGGCCCGATCCTTGCCAATTTTTTCCAACTTTTTTTCAAGGTGTGAACCCCATGTAAAATATAAGGACGGCATCCTGCAAAAAATTGAGGCATCTAGATGTGTGTCAGTCATTTGAATTATGGAAATTTGTGAAAACCATTTCAACCCTTCAATTGGAACTTTATTCCTTCCCTTTTTACCATTCTGCGGGAATTTTTATTCTTTCCACTAAGTACGAAATAGTCATCAAACTCAAGGCGTTTTTCCATCCTGTAGCATCTCTAACAAAAGACTCGAGTGATTGTAACATTTTATCAATGTAAATATTGTAGCAAAATGAGATGTGAAGAAAAATTTTGGAAAACAACGATAATCAAACGATGGCGTAAAGTATTTGTCAATATAATTTAAAACGTTTTGGGCCAGGGTCAATCCTAGTCATGGAACAGAAACAAATTCACATGTAAACTTCATTAGTGAAGTGGTAGAATTTAGAAGACCAAACGAAATATTTGAAGGTTATTTCAGCAACTCAAATGGGACATTATGTCGCAGCATATGGCAGAATAAATGCCCAAGCACCAGACAACGTATTAGCCAAGTGGTATTTCCAAACGAGTTCTTACAAGTCGTGATACATTATTCTCACATCGCAGCTACAAATACTAAACGGGATCACAGCAAATTCAACCTAAAAACAAGAAGCACACTACTCTCTCATCCAAAATGCTTGCAAAAAAAAAAAAAAAATACTGCAGGAAATAGCAGCAGAAATTTCTCTACTTGGTGGCAGCCACCAAAGCCATGTGCTCAATCAGGTCCAACACTCGGTTACTGCAAAATAATAATAATAAGGCCAAACAAGTCCATTGTTAATCAAGTATTTATTGAACAACAGCACAGATTTTTGGGAGAGACTGTACCTGTAACCCCACTCGTTATCATACCAAGAAACAAGCTTCATGAAGGAAGCACTAAGACCGATCCCAGCCTTTGCATCAAATATGCTCGACCTACATCAAGGAAGCAAGAAGAGTTTTACATGCAAGCAATGTCAAGTCATCAAATTACAAAAGCCCTTTTTTGTGGAAGGGTGAGAGATGAGCAGGAATATGTACCTTGAATCACCAACAAAATCACTGGAGACAACATCTTCATCGGTGTATCCAAGGATGCCTTTCAATGGACCTTCTGATGCATACCTGATTTTGAGCCAGACAATTCGGTATCAATTTTATGAAGAAACTGAAATTCCATTAGAGTTAGAATGCCAGATAAAAGCAAAAGCAGAGAGATGGCGTACTTAATGGCTGCTTTAACATCTTCATAAGAAGCACTCTTCTCAAGTCGACAAGTTAGGTCTACAACAGAGACATTAGGGGTTGGGACACGGAAAGCCATTCCAGTGAGCTTGCCGTTGAGTTCTGGAAGTACTTTTCCAACAGCCTATGCGTTCAATCCAAAACATATCATCAGATATCAAATAAATTTGCAGATTAATAAATTTTCCACATGGAGACAGCCACATACCTTTGCTGCACCAGTAGAACTTGGGATGATGTTCTGGCCAGCCCCACGGCCACCCCTCCAGTCCTTCTTTGATGGACCATCAACTGTCTTTTGTGTGGCTGGAGAACATTTATCAATAAGAAGATTTACGGGATAAGCATAAGAACAATGAAAACCTAAGGTGAAAATCTAAACTATTTTGGAAATGTTGTGTCTGTATGGGTGTGCACAACACGTACCTGTCGTTGCATGGACAGTCGTCATTAAACCCTCTAAGATACCAAACTCCTCGTGAACCACCTGTGAAGAAAAAATAATTGGGAAAACAGGCTTAACGAATATAGTCATCTGCCTACATTGGCTTTAGAAAATAATAATAATAAGGCCAAACAAGTCCATTGTTAATCAAGTATTTATTGAACAACAGCACATATTTTTGGGAGAGACTGTACCTGTAACCCCACTCGTTATCATACCAAGAAACAAGCTTTATGAAGGAAGCACTAAGACCGATCCCAGCCTTTGCATCAAATATGCTCGACCTACATCAAGGAAGCAAGAAGAGTTTTACATGCAAGCAATGTCAAGTCATCAAATTACAAAAGCCCTTTTTTGTGGAAGGGTGAGAGATGAGCAGGAATATGTACCTTGAATCACCAACAAAATCACTGGAGACAACATCTTCATCGGTGTATCCAAGGATGCCTTTCAATGGACCTTCTGATGCATACCTGATTTTGAGCCAGACAATTCGGTATCAATTTTATGAAGAAACTGAAATTCCATTAGAGTTAGAATGCCAGATAAAAGCAAAAGCAGAGAGATGGCGTACTTAATGGCTGCTTTAACATCTTCATAAGAAGCACTCTTCTCAAGTCGACAAGTTAGGTCTACAACAGAGACATTAGGGGTTGGGACACGGAAAGCCATTCCAGTGAGCTTGCCGTTGAGTTCTGGAAGTACTTTTCCAACAGCCTATGCGTTCAATCCAAAACATATCATCAGATATCAAATAAATTTGCAGATTAATAAATTTTCCACATGGAGACAGCCACATACCTTTGCTGCACCAGTAGAACTTGGGATGATGTTCTGGCCAGCCCCACGGCCACCCCTCCAGTCCTTCTTTGATGGACCATCAACTGTCTTTTGTGTGGCTGGAGAACATTTATCAATAAGAAGATTTACGGGATAAGCATAAGAACAATGAAAACCTAAGGTGAAAATCTAAACTATTTTGGAAATGTTGTGTCTGTATGGGTGTGCACAACACGTACCTGTCGTTGCATGGACAGTCGTCATTAAACCCTCTAAGATACCAAACTCCTCGTGAACCACCTGTGAAGAAAAAATAATTGGGAAAACAGGCTTAACGAATATAGTCATCTGCCTACATTGGCTTTAGAAGGAAAAAAAGATCAAATCATATTAGATGAGCTAGTCTTCCAAGAAGACCAGGAACCTAGAACACAAAAATAATCTTAACAGAATCTCTTGAAGAAGAGCAGGCACATAGAAGATAATCTCAAAAGATTTCTTTGTCTATTTAATAAGTAAAATTAACTGTGGTCCTTGAAATTAGAGAATACAGTCCAACCTTGGCCAAAGGAGCAAGGCAATTGGTGGTACAGCTAGCATTGGAAACAATGTCCATGCTTGGCTTGTAGCTTTTCTCATTTACTCCAACAACAAACATAGGTGCATCAGCAGATGGAGCTGACACTACAACCTTCTTTGCACCACCCTGGAGAAGAAGGTCAATGACATTAAATTTGCAAGTTTTTAATACAAGATCAGAGAATACATGAAATGACTCTTTAACAAACCTTTTTATGTGCTGAGGCCTTGTCAATGGTAGTAAAAACGCCAGAAGATTCAACTACATAGTCAGCCCCATAATCACCCCAAGGAATCTCTGCTGGGTCTCTGTACAAGGGATTTTGAATTAGCACAAGCAGACAAAAGGCTGAAATATACACCTAACGTGAATCAGCATGCTGATAAAGAACAGTTATCAAACTTCCGACACGAAATTCTTGTGATACCTTTTGCTGATAATTTTAATTTGCTTCCCATTGATTTCCAAAGTGGATTCATCTACAACATTGATGGTTCCCTTGTAGGGTCCATGAGTGGAGTCATACTTAAACATGTAAGCCTGAAAGATTTATGAGCACATTATTGCCATTCTTCAAAACATTCTGGGGGGCAACTCACTTCTTGAAATGTAAGAAGGAAAAAAAGATATATAACCAATCAGTCACACGGAGAAATATTACCATGTACTTAGCATCGATAAAAGGATCATTGACAGCTACCACATCTATATCATCCCTGAAAGTTGCTATTCGAAGAACCAACCGTCCAATACGTCCAAACCCTGAAAGGTTCAAATATCTAACAATTATTGAAGGAAACTATTGACCAAAAAAGCCAAAAGATATGTAGTAGACGAATGTGATAAGATATAACACGCCCTAAAACAACAAATATCCTAATAAAAAAGTGATGTGCATCCAAGAAAAAGGATTTGGTTGATGAACTTACCATTGATTCCAACTTTTGCTTTGCCACTGCTTCTTGACTCTGATTAGTGACATGTAAGAAATATAGCTTGTCAAACTCTTTATTACAGCATTAAGAAAGAACTCTTCATTGCAGAATTGGCTGTTAAAGCAGCATAAGAATGAACTGTTGTGAGTCATACTTGGAATGGTTGGTGGCATTTCTGTTGCTGTTGCTTTAATAGGTTGAGAACCACGGGTAGCAGTCATCCTGCAGAGAATGGTATTAGATTTCACAAGCAATTAAGAGTAACATCAAATGTTAAAGCAAATTAGAGAAGAAAAAATGTAGGATTGTGCATTCATTCAACCATAAAGAAGACGAATCCACAGAAATATTAGCTCCAAAGATGCTAGACTGGAACTTCACAGAGTTAATATTGCTACTCAGCCCACGGGATGATACCTAAAATAGAGAATACAAACACATTTTATAAGCAATACATCTGTCACACATCAAACGAATACGAGGACACGAGAATAGAAAGAAACTAATTAACTGAAATTATAGGCTATTGAACAACCGAAATTGGAATGGAGACTGGCATAAACATCAACTGAAACTCAAAATCTACTGCAGCTTTGAATTAAAAGTTAAAAAAAATAATAATAATAATAACAGGGCAGAACTATCTGATAGTTCTTTGCTCATAAGTAGTCAACTTCCATGAATCCCAGATTTGAATCGATATTTTTTTCTCTTGTTCCGCAATAACAGTTAATATATAGCATTCTACTGTCTCCTCTTCGTTAAATTTTGCTGATCCGGCAAATGTAACATAGATACCTCAAAATATAACTGTTAACTTCTAGGTGAAATTAGCACAAAGTTAAAATCCATCAAAATCCACCTCCTACGGTAACTAATATAAAAATAAAAAAAAATAAAAAAGAAAGAAGAAATATCAACGAGATATTCAGCTATGTAATTCACGAGGAAAAAAACTAGTAACAAACGTAAAGCAAGCTATCCTAGTTCATTCTCGAACCGGTTACTGTTGGTCAAACGCAAATTACAAATAAATCAAAGGAAAAGGAAGTGACCATGGATCGATAGGACGGACGGAAGGCGTCAGCATCGATGACAGGGGACCGTGCAGATCCAAGGAGAGAAGAGAACGCCATGTTTCCAACAAATGCACAAGCTGGTGCTCTTCTCTACAAAATCCGATCGATCCGTACGCACTTTATTATATATTAGACCAACGGCAAAACCCTAGAGAGGAAAGAAGAGGTTTTGGCCTTTGAAGAAAAGAACAGACCAACTTCTCAACAAAATTTACAAAAAGAGCAGAGATGGTCGATTTTAATAGAAATGTTTCTCTGTTTCTGACGTTGGTGAATTTGTCGTCTTGTCCAGATTGGGCCTTCCTTGGTAACCACGTCCTCCTTCAAACGCTCTTTTCGGCCTTCTTTTGTCGATAATTTACATCCTAACCATCCATATATATATATATATATATGCCCCGTTTGAAAAGGAATCTAAGCACATGTTTTTTATTTTCACATATTTAGAGAGAGAAGATACAATATTTTATTTTACATTCTCCTTCTAAATATGTGAAAAGAATAAAAATCCAGGAAAATAAAAGAAGGCCAAATAAAAGATAATTTACATTCTCCTTCTCATTTTTTTTTTCTCTCTCTTATTTTCAATAACACAATCTTTCATAAAATAATATTACACATAAATAAAAAACTTTTCATTTTTTTCAACCACGCATTTTTCAAAAAAATACTATTTCAATAATTAAAATTTGAAAAGAACGAGGGCAAAACAGGGGCTATATATATATATATATATATATATATATATATATATTTT